AAATAAAAAAAAAAAAAAAATTAAAAAAAAAAAAAAAAAGCAAAAAGAAGTTGTGCGGGCCAGAAACTCATTCTCATGTGCTCATACACATGCCCACATGCTAGTTACACGTGAAGAGTCCCATGCGTCTGAACGGCTTGATATAGTTAGATACTTCTAGTATATATCAAATCTCTCAAATTTCTTCTTGCTAATATCTCAATGTTCATCGGCAAAACTTCGAACAAAGTTTTTTCTTTAATCTCTCTCAATTATCTACGATACCTCGACTGTCTTGAATGTCCATACATCTAGATCTCCATTACAACTTTGCATCGTCAATTAGATCTATTGTTGTCAATGTGATTTTTGATTCTTATGTCATAGTATTTATGGCTCGAAAATTTTGTTTAAGGTAAAAAATAAAGTTCTCTAGAGGCTTGACATCTAGAATTCCATAGTAGGATTTGAGCTTCAGTACCTTTACCTTGTTATATTGGACCTCACCCTCTATTAAGGTTTGGTTCCCTACCGCTCTCATGGTGAGATTTTGTCTCACACTCAAATATGCCACTTGATTCTAAACTACATCAAGGATAACGTTTACATCTTCAGAAAGTTGAGAGATTGTCTAAATGATCGCTTTTTGGAAGTTATCTAAAACTCTTAGTATGCTTCTCCATATAGGCAATAGAGTCGGTTGATCTATCCATATGCTTATGGGTTTGTCTTGTAGGATCTCAACCTTCAACAACAATTCGTGGTTGGGTATCCCATCAAGGCAGCTTGTGCATTAATGGTATCAACTTTATTGGTAATCTCCTTCATGAACATAACTACCACAAATAACTCCAACAGAGACAACAAACAACAAACAACTCTTGAAGAGACAACAAACAACTCTCGATCAACAAAGGTTTTCTGTCTTTTTCAAACAAACAAAATGGAGTATAAAAACAGTCTTATATCCTCAATGAAACACTCTCTCTGTTTCAAAGTAGTGCATTTCTGATATCCTTGATTTGTTTGGTGATCAATTTTGTTGATTTCAATCAATTTTAAGATCAAGTGTGAAATTGATTTCTTAAAATAAAAGATCAATTCACATTGATTTTAAATTATCAAACTAAAAACAATTTTTTAAACCAATTTTTTATGGTTTAGATAATAGTTTTATAGTACAACAAAATATAGGTTGAATTTGTAGCAATAATTTAGTACGAGTGGATATTACTGATCCTTACCATTACCATTTAGTGAAAGATGGTTACTCAAATTAAAAGTTTGTAATGTCATTACATTAAGGCCCTATGTTCCATGCAATTTTTGTACTTTTCCCTCAAAATGATTGAAAATTCGATTGATTTGGAGATAGAATCTTCACATAATCTCGACTTTGAAAAATTTATTAAATGTCTCTTAATAGATTTCCGAATATTTAAACATAAAATAAAAGAATTGTGGATAATAAAATCACTAATTATAAAAAATTGATGAATATATATATAAAAAAAAAAAATGGCTCAAGACAACTAAAAATTGAGAGATCCATCAAACACCTCTAAAGTTTAGATATCTAATAAATACAAATAAAATCCAATTACATTCAAACATTTCATATAACCTTAAGCAAACTATTGAACATTTAGTAACAGCGCAAACATTTTCAAAGTTTAACCAAACTATAGGAATTATAACCAAAGGTATGAAACTACCCAGACACCAAATCAAAGCCAAGCTCTGACTCTCTATATGCTAACTAGACACGAACATAGTAATTTAACCTTAAATTCATAACGATGTTTCGCCAATGAATAGATTTAATTTGGAAATTTTGAAAGAAAACAACTTGAAAACACCATAAAAGAAACCAAACTATTCTCACTGAAAAGCCCTTTAAAAAGCATCAAAAACTCTAAACAAGGGAGCTTGTTGCTAGGCAGTGGCATCAGATGTTGAACAATAATCCACAAAACAGTTGGCTAAACTACAAGAAAAGGGAATAAATAAATAAATAAATTATAAAGCAAAGATGAAATTTCAGCCTCAAGCAATGCAAATTATGATACATATGTGAATGACAAATTAAATTTCTGTATAACTTCTTGGCTGGGCCATTGTTGATAATCCTTACAACCGATAATCCCCAGTCAATTCAATCCCAAAGAATGGAAGAATTGCACACCAGTAAGCATGATAAAGCCTTGCTAACTTGAACAGATCTCAAACAGAGGGCATCTCGAGACCGAATATATTATCCTGGCGCAAACAACAGGATTCGACGGTCAACTTCAACATCTTAAGTACGCAAATGACTACTAAAAATTCATACAATCTCGACATCTCCCGTTGGCAATGCATTCATCTGCAAGGTCCTACCATTTCC